ACTTCCCACAGGAAGTCAACAAAGTCTAGCACATTGCTCTGAGGCAGGACCAAGACGCTTCCCACTATATATAGGCTGAGCAAGGTATCCCTGCAAAGAGAATTTTGCTACTGTTATTACTCATATGTAAGCATCTGATATGCAGCCAGTCCCTTTGGGGACTGCAACCCACAAGTTGAGAACTGCTGATTTAGACTGGTGTGTTATTTTAGTTAATTTTTAAAACAGTGCTGAATTGGAGCCCAAAGCCATGCTTTCACACACGTTAGCCAAGTTCTCTACCACTGAGTAACACCTTCAGCCCTAGCTAAATGTATTTATCCCTGTGGGCAACAAATCAAACCCCTAAAAATAGAATCATTCTTAGCAGATAAAAGGATGACTTACTACTTGGTTTTTATTCCAGTTAGCTTTCAAGTGATATCTGAATTAAATCACTATATTAGACTGAATTGAGAAACCCATTCAAAGTCCTAGCAATGTGCCCCAGAAAGATAATCCTGATAGAATGAGGAAAGCCATGCAGTAAAGTATAAACCCAAGATCCTCTTCTATGTCTTTCCCAAGGTCACACAATTGATGGCAAGCCTTTCTTAGCTTCCAGAGCAAGGCAACTTCTATAGTATACTAGAGAATGTGATCATTTCCTGTCCTAATACAATGGACAAGCTTGGTGGGTTGTCAGGTGGGAGGAGGCAAGCAATCGCTATGGTTGTAATTTTCTTCCTGTTGAGCTCCTGCATAGAAGAGAAAGTCCAAGTTTCATCATATTGAAAGCAGCACAGTAACAAATAACTTTAGGGGAGGGGAGGTGACACAGGCAGAATGTTCGCTGCAGAAACACAGGACTTGGGGTTAATCTCTAACACCCATGTAAATAACCAGACACACGTGTCATTCCATTGCATGAGAGGCAGAGATGGGGGATCTCTGGGACTTGCTGACCGGTTATTCTAGCAGAACCAGAGAGTTCCAGATTCAGTGAGACTTAGTCTCAAAACACAAACAAACAAAAAAGCTGAAGTGGAGAATGATTGAGGAAGATGCCCTGACTCAACCTCTGACACCCACAAGCATACTCGCAGATATTGACAGGCACTACATGCATGTTCACACATCCATAAACACATATGTACACTCATACAAAAGTGAACTTCAGTTAACCCTATAGCTGTATATGCCTACGTGTTTTTTGGACAGTGATCTCATGATCATATATATGTTTTCTTTCTTCTTTTTTTTCCTTTTATTTTAAAGATTTATTTATTATGTATACAGTGTTCTGTCTGCATGTACACTTTCACGCCAGAAGAGGGCGCCAGATCTCACTACAGATGGCTGTGAGCCACCTTGTGGATGTTGGGAATTAACTCAGGACCCTTGGAAGAGCAGTCAGTGCTCTTAACGGCTGAGCCGTCTCTCCAGCCCCTGATCATATATGATTTCTATAGTTAGCGAAACAGGGAACAAACGTTGGGAATGATTTTGAATATTATTTCTGACAAGGTTAGGTGAAAAAAAATCTATGATCACAGTCAAAATTACTATTTCCACAGGATCTTTTGTGGTAGCAATGCAACACATCCAATATGGGTGATGCAGAAGGCCAGGCTTGCAGTAGGTAAAGGCTGTGGTCCGATGGCCCCCTGCAGATGTTCTCTTGAGGCTAAAATTTCATTGCCTAAAGGGTATCAACATGTTTTTTAAAACACCTCACATTACACCAGAAAGATTTTATTCTGGCTTCTGCCATGGTCATCTGGTGTGTCAGGGGCACGGTAAGAAAGCAAAGACGTCCAGAATGTTTCATCAGTGATGGTTTAGAGAAGGGACACATTTGAGGGAATTAACAAAATCGGCGCGCTGGTTGCTCCAGGCTGAATTTTCTTGCTGGTGGGACTAAATGAAAATCAGAAGCCAAAGCTTTCAGGTCCAATTCATGCTGACAACGTAAAAAGCCTGCCAGGAGGAAGGGCTGAGTCACTCCCGATGCCAGCTACAGCTGTGTTTTTCATATTTATGATACATTTCTTGATTCCGGTGCTAAGAAATCACTCCTCTGCTGGAGCTGTATTCTTAGCTCTTCTCCTCCATCTCTCTTCCTTTCTCTGCTTCATTCCAAGGGACTGAGTGCTAGGCGGTTAGAGCATCTTCGTGTCTCAAGAGGTTCAGAAACGTCCTAATCTAGCCTGATGTCAATGTTCTGAGGGAAAATATTCTGGGGAGGACTCAGTCGATGAGTAGCCGATGAGTAGCTATTCTTCTACCTCATGAAGCCATCAAGTACAAATGAGCTGAGAAGAGAACTTAGAACAATTATGAATGTGAGAAAATCTATAACATTAAAGGATAGGTTTAGTGGCTGTTGGTGGGATAGTTGATTCAACCACTATGTACGGTGTGGGAGGTAAGGAGTTTACAGATTAAAAGTTCAGTGTGTCCCAAAGGCATAGTGCTGCAAGCGCCAGCTAAATCATGAGAGTCATGGTGTCCACGACTGGGGGAAAAGATTCAGCTCTTCTGCACAGCACTCTTATGCTGTCTTCATCAACACCTGTGGTTCTAAGGAGCAGACATTCACATAGTAACTGTTCCTGGCTAGGGTCTTGCTCCTCTGTATACCACATGTAATTTTTATGAAGTGTTCTGTCCCTCAGCATCTCTCTCAATAATCCCATGAAAATCCAACCACAGACTGCAACTGCTTCATGACCTAATGCCTTCAGGTTTACAGTGACGCAATTCTGGTGAAAGCCAAGGGAATATCTTACTTAGACTTCCCAGTATGACTCCAGGTCTCATGGAGGCAACGTGTGTTATTCACGTGTTAACAGTCTGAAAATCAAATGGGAAGTCCAAAAAGAGATATTATAAGCACAGAGTTTGAGTAGAAAAGCTTCCACTTTTCCCATGCGTGGGAAACCCTGACTTGATCTGTATCTTGCTGGACAATTTGTACATGAAATGCTTGCCAACACCCCTGGGCTTCTGTTAGAAGACACTGTCCGTGGCCCGTGTTACCACAGAGGGTCATAGGAACCACGCATGTTAAAACCAGAGGGCCATGTTGAGCCCACTCTATCCCTCACTGGCCTTGGGATACCTGTCCCTTGCTAGACACCAAAGCAGGAGAGCTAACCCTGCCTCCCATGGGAGAGAAGCCTTCCACCCCCTGCACTCCAGAGAAATGGCTCCACCCCCACCACTGGTATGGGAAAGCTGGCCTCACCTGAGGGGGCAGTCCCAGTGGTTCAGATCAATCAGCTCATTACCACTTGGACTCACATCCTGGACCTTGGTTTGGCCCACCGTAGTACCTACCCCATCTATGACCTGCTGGAGTGTGTGGAGGGACTGGTCCCGTGGAACAATAACTGTAGGATCCCCATGATTCGAGGCAATAGCAGGATATCAGAGAGGAGTTTCAGTGAAAACCCAGTGATGATGGTGTTTCAGGCACCAGAGACCTTGGACCAGACTCACTGCAATGAACATTTTGCTGATGGGGATGATTGGACAAATGGGTGTACTGCATGGCACACCACAGCTCCCAGTACCACTAGGATGAACAAAGAGGTGTTGGAAAGATGGAGGAACAAGGTGGAATAGTTCTTTGTTTGTTTTGTTTTTAATTAATGTTTTGGGGAGGCATGCTGCAGGGGTAAGGGGGGAAAATATGGAGGAATTGGGATAATGTGAAATTACCAAAGAATAAAGAATTGTGTTTTAAAATATTCTCTAGATTACATCAAAAAATAAAAAAGTAAAGAAAAGAAAAGGAAAAAAAGAAGATGCCGAGCTTTGTGACATATTTCTACACACAGAGAGTTCTTCTTGAGAGGAATTCACTTTAGTTTTTAAAAATTTTCTTACTAGTTCATAAAGAATTGTTCCATTGTAGCCTTTCTTTCTGCCTCTTCTGTGTCCCCCACCTTGTGCTCTATCACCCCAATATTTCTTTCTGCCTCTTCTGTGTCCCCCACCTTGTGCTCTATCACCCCAATGTCCTCCTGTCGACTTTCACTCACATGGGACTATTGCCTCCCTGCTTCTCCATGCTTCTTTCTTCCTCATGGAAGCCTACCAATATACATTCTCACGACCCATTATTTAAGTACACCAAACATTAAAAGTTAGGATTTGCATAGGAGAGAGAAATGTGATTTTTGTCTGAGCCTAGGTCACCTCACTGTGAGGCTAACAGAGAGGAGAATACAGGAAGAGGGTCAAGTTTGAAGAAAAGAAGGTAATGGTGTATCTGCTTTTGGTAGTTTGGATGTGCCCAAAGGATGGATGGGTAAGTGGATATGTCAAGCAGATCCTTTAGACTAAAGTCCTACTTCTACCGTTTTATGGTTGGGGATCAGCACAACATGAGGAAATGTATTAAAGGGTCTCAGCATTAGAAGATTGAGAACCACTGCTCCATGGCTCAGAATTCAGCTTCTTAGTCCCATCAAACCTGTGTGTACTGGGTTTTACTGTTCCCATTCTGCAGACAGAGAAGTAGAGGCTAAATGAAACCCAACTTTTTAAAACCAAGTTACTAGAATGCCTCTTCCCTTTGTTATTACTGAGAACTCAAGAACAATGGTAATGGGTTTTTGATCCTACGGCACGTACTGGCTTTGTGGGAGCCTAGGCAGTTTGGATGCTCACCTTACTAGACCTGGATGGAGGTGGGTGGTTCTTGGACTTCCCACAGGGCAGGGAACCCTGATTGCTCTTTGGGCTGATGAGGGAGGGGGACTTTATTGGGGAAGGGAGAGGGAAATGGGAGGCGGTGGCGGGGAAGAGACAGAAATCTTTAGTAAATAAATAAATTTAAAATAAATGTTGCTGAAGTGTTGCCAAGGTTCTCACCCAGCCTCCCTGACAGTTCTCTGATATCTCTTCATTTGAGCACTGTTCTGTGTGCTTAGGTGAGGTCTTTGCATGTCATGCTTCTCTGAAAGAAAGTGAACTTCAGAATTCTTTACCTGCAGATGCTCTAAGCAATTAGGATAATTATTATCATTGCCACTACCATTATCACCGGTAATATCACACTGTCAAGTTTCCTCAGACACCTATAAAACATCAAGAAAAGTACTCACCAGACAACTTTAAGAAAAAAATGATCTTACAAGCAAAAGTACGTCTATGTGTCACAATCTCCATGGTTCAGAGAGGCATATGTTTATTCCTCGAGCATTCCCCTGTCTCTTGTATATTTACTGGCATTCCAATTTCAGTGAGCAGCAGTGAGGTCTTCCATGCACCAAAAGAGCTGAAAGTTAAAGGATACACTCCCTTTTAAAGAGACAGTTTTGAGGAATAAAATGAACCCTAAGATATAAATTACTGTGCTGATTCAATTAGGATAGAAAGGACAGAGAAAAGATGTCAATTTATGTCTGAAGAATTAGCAGATGTCGGACCTCAGAAAGGGCGGATGAGAAGCACAGATGACCATCATGTGCCTCTTCACGCCTTAGAATGTTTCCTGCACTCAAATCCATCTTCCCACCCCTCTGAAAAGAGAAGGCAGCCTGTTCTTTAATTCTGAAATGATAGATACAGTTTTCTTTAGACACTTGTCTCTCGCTTCCAGCTCTAGATCTATTATGCAGTTCCTCACTTGTTGACACACAGTTCATCATGTTTATCTTTATTAATGGTTTTAAATTATAATGTCTGAGCCCGAGATCTAGCTGCCTTGCTTACTACAGCAGAACGCAATTGGTACATAGTCTTCTAAACAAATAACAAACACCATCTGAAGTGGCTTGTGAAAATTAGGAGTGTTTGCCCCTTGGTTGCCTTTCTAGGGTCTAGATGTAATGCTGTCATCAAAATCTCCTTGGAATAAGGATGCTGGCTACAAAAAAAAAAAAAAAAAAAAAAAAAAGAGGAAGAAGAAAGAGGCTACGAAAGATCCCAGATGGTTTAGACAAGTGCTGCCATGACCCAGATTCATTCTGAGTAGGAGACACAGGATTTTCAAAATTATTTTAATCTTTGAGCTGATAAGAGATGGATGGACTTTGTCTACAGAAAGCATCTTCTGTTCCTAGGATTTTGGATGCTCCATATTTTGTATATTACTTATGAATAGTGAACAGTTTTGTTTATTCTTTTGACTTTCTTTTTCCTGGTGAGCAATGCAATTTTTTTTTCATCTGAATGTCCCTGAATGAAAGTCACTTGAATATGGCAAGAAATGAGTTTTTGAGTAGAATGTATTAAAATAGTGTTTCTGCAGTCTTAAAAGCCTAGTGACACCTTAGTGGAAGAGCAACCTTAGATTTCTGACAAACCCCTGGGGCTGTATCTGTCTGACGTGGTCAGAGGAACTAAGATACCAACACGGTCACATCAAAGTGAACGGTTTGATAAGAGTGAGGAAGAAGATGCCATGAGTTTGCTAAAACACAAAGTAATGGTCCTAATATAATCTGTAAGGAAAAGTCACATAGTGGCCTTGATTTGAAATACCCTCGCAACCTGTTCTTCATTTCCTTTTTCCTTTTCCTTCATTCATTCTGTTTTTTTAGGCTGGCAACTTTTAGGTTAGTCTTGTATTAATTAGTATCAGAATTAACCTTTGTTGAAAGAGGTAAATGGTTTAAAGTCATTTAATGAAATGTCAGAGTGCAAACATTCATAAATTTAAAATGAATCCATTGCCATTTGGTACATTTTAGAGAACAGGTGTATAAATGCTTTTGACTTAATAACCTTAGTGTAAATAAAGCCTATTTCAATGAATGAAGAGCAGGAGGTATGCATTTAGGGATTCATATCAAATATAATACCTGACCGTTTCTCAAATTTCAGTTTTATTTTAAATTAGAAATTAAGTTATTGACTATTTTATGGACCAAGATTGTAGCTTAATTAATACACTCAGGAAAAGAACAGGAGCTTATATAATTGACTGAAACATCAATTAGTAGCACTGAATTTAGCACAGAATGTGGAGATAAATTATATGGTGAATCTGAAATGCAAGCATGAGGATAAGTGACATGTGACAAGGAACATAATTGGCTAAGGCTCACAGTATTTTAGATCACAAAACAGAAAAAAAAATAAGAGATGAGAAAAGAGAAAAATCCAGAAGGTCATTTGAACCATCTACGAAATACAATTACTTTGGAAAGGAATGTTGTATTTAAAACACTGAAAGAGAAATTCATGGCTTGAACATCTGCGGGTTATTCCTAGAAGATTGCCAGAATTTATTAGTATTCATGATATCTAAAAACTCAGAGATTAATTCCATGAAATTATTACAAAGAGAAAACTTGTGGTTTTACTCTGTCAGTGAACGAAAAATAAGTGTTTGGCTGGATCGCTTTAGGATCTTCCACAAACTGAACGAGACATAGCCTTCTGTCTCCACATCCTTAGACTGTTCCAGCCCCAGTCTCTACCTCTGTGTAGAGAAAATACAAGTGTGGGGTTGTCTATAGTGGTGGTTCCCAGCCTATAGCGTCATAACCCCTATGGGGGATCAAATGACCCTTTCACAAGGGTTGCCTGAGACCATCCTGAATATCAGATATATACATTATAATTCAAAACAGTGGCAACATTACATGAAGTAGCAACGAAACTATTTTATGGTTGGAGGTGGCTGCAGCTTGAGGAACTGCATCAAACGGTCACAACATTAGGAGGGTTGAGAACACTGATCTACATTAGGATGATTGAGAACACTGGTCTACATTAGGATGGTTGAGAACACTGGTCTACATTAGGAGGGTTGAGAACACTGGTCTTCAGTCTCCACCCATTAGAGCAGACACAATATTTTCTTCATAGGATTGAAGCTGCAGTCAGACCAAATCTTTGACTTTTACCATGAGTCTTAAAGATGCAATTATTTCCATGCTACCTACTCTGCCATAAAGGAAAGAGCTTAAATTATCAAACCTATTCCACTTAAACTTCACAGCCCAATGAGAAGGAGAGTTCCTGAATGAGAGGTTCCACACTTCCCTCTGTCAGCAGTGAGGAAACCAGGGAGGGGAGGGGCACCTGACTGTCTGTGGTCCTGACTCCCTATGCTCCACATTCTCATCCTCTCGCTGTCTTCTCCATGTTTCTCTTCTAAATATCAACCATCTTCATTTTAGAGGCCTTTAAAATGCTGAGAACTCCTACCTGCTGTTTCAAAATACCCGAAGACCTTTGCATAGACAATGACACTATAGGAAATCGGATAGGAGGGAACCTAGACCGCAACACTTGATTTAAGAGAATGTGATGTATTGAGAACCTTGGGGAAATTTGGGATAATTCTTTTTTCTCATAAGGATATAGTAATTTACTTCTACTCTAAATTTATTTGTTAAATCCATCTTCTTGGTTATAAAACCATTCATGACTTCTTATTGCTGAACCCCAGACTTTAAGCATGATTAGTTATGAGGCAGGAAAACACATGTGTGGAAACAACATCTATGTAAAACCTTTATAGCAATAGCATGGCCAGTACTTATCACAGTATGCTCGGAATCTATAATAAATCCTGACAAAAGGCAAGCCCAGTGAATCTTACCATAATTTAAAGACTACCTAAATGGCTTGGTTTATTTTTAAAATAAAGCACAGAGGAAATGTAGAACAATGTCCAGTTATATAAGAACATCCAATTATCCAAAGGAAATTAATATCTATCATTTATAAATTTTATATATTTCATTTATGAATTTTATATGTTTATTTGAGACAGGGTATCCTATAGCCCATGATGACTTTGAACTTAACTATGTAGCTGAGGCTAACTTAAAAATGATTAATTAATTAATTGATTTTTTAATTTAAAGAGTCAGGTTTCTTGATGACATTTATTCTTCAAACAAAATCTGCTTTCTCTTATTTATCTCCCCCCTTTCCTCAGTCCTTCCCTTATTTGTGCTCTTCTAAGCCTAGTAGCTTGGTCATCCTGCTTCCACCTCCCTAGTGCTGGGATTACAAACCCAAAGTGCCACACTTGCCTGTACAAGTCTTCTTTTGAAGTAATAAATCCTCAAAACCTCTGATATTCATGTAATAAATGTGATGATCCATGATCAGACATTATTTTTTTAATTCTGAAGATTTACATTATTATTAAAATATTATAAATCATGGAGCTGATTTTTCAAAACCATTTTTAAGAATGCAGTAAATTGAATCTTAAATAATTCACCTTCTGACCTGCTTAGTATTCAAAACCCAGAGCTGAAATTCTGCCACCCACTCTGCAGCCTATTGATTTGAGAACTACAGCTGCAGAAATTAAACTGTATTGTTAGCACAGAGCTTTCAGCTGAGGAAGCAATTTGAGATTGGTTTCTTCCCTAGCCCAGCGGAGTAGTAAGTAAATATGCGCCTGGAAGTGTCTTGGGCAGATTATTACCCAAAGTGGTGTTTGCAGCTTTGCAGATGCAGTTCCAAGGAACCAAAAGTTCCTTAGGTGAGGCTCCTTCCTACCCAATGGGTAAAGGTTACCATGAAACTGAGTGCACAGTTATCCCCAGAGCCCCAGGAGTGCATCCAAGCTAGACTGCTTTTTGATGTCTAAGATACTTTCGTATTTGGTGCTCTAGACAAAGGCTGTATGGCAATGAAATGGCCACAGTCCCTGTCCCCAATGAGCACCTGATCCAAAAGGAAGACAGAGACAGGCATCAAAGTAACATGGGATGTATGTGAGATTTTCATGGTGTGTGATGAAAAGCCTCCCCCCCCCATGTCTATGTGTGTAACAGGGTTGTTTTAGGAAGGGGGAAGGCATCCCGAAGGAAATCGAGTAGCGATTGATGAGAACAAGATTTTTGCTTTATTTTTTTAATAGTAGGTTCAATTTCCTGGTTCAAGAAATAGCTCCTATTCTCTAAAAATAATAAAATAATTTTCCTCCTGCTGGCATAAACACTATCTGAAGTGGCAGAAATAATAACCCATCATTTTATAGACATTCTGAAAGATGAGAGGAAAGATGATGAATAGACGAATAATATATGGAGCTGTGAATTTTTAGTAAAAATATCAGTCAAGATATCACCTATTTTGATTTCAGATCTATAGACAAATATTTTTGAATGTCTTGGAAATAAAAGCAATGTATTTTCATGAATTCTTTATTTTCTCTAGAATATTATGCCTTTCAAAGTTATACTTTGAAATAGGAAGAAGAAAAACTATAGAAATTTGTCTCAGAAATCAATAAAACCTGGCTTAGTTTGATAGTGTGCCTATTTAAGCTTACATCTGAATTCAATCGGACTTGGTTTC